TATATAAAATTAATAATTGGATATGACTCAAAAAACGGAAATAAATCGTTCCGCAGTGATCCGAATTTATGGAATAAGGAATTGTCAGCAAGCATTTTGATCCGGACTTTGTCATAAGGGCTTACATAAATTTAAATATAAATAACATATTTTTTAGACATTAATATAAATATAAAACTAAATACATACATATTTAATAGAAAATAAATATACACATATCTGATTATCTGTACAATAATGTTATCAGACGCGTGGGGTACGAAAAGCAAGCAAGGACCCATTTTAGTATTCAATTCTCATTATATTAGTCAGAGGAAGAGCTCGAAAAAGAGTTCGAAGAAGAGTTCGAAAAAGAGCTCTGGAACGGGTATGGAACGGGTATAGAACGGGTATGGATCGGGGTATGGAATGAAATGGACCTGAACTTCTCAAATTTCTGTCTGATTATGTTAATGGCAAATTCAATATCTAATTTAATGTTTTTGTTGGAACGAAAACCAATTGTAAATAATCTTTGGCTAATTTGATAAATAATATGATATTTATAATCCTTGTTTTAAATTGTAAATTACAAGCGAAATATAAATTCCTTTACGGTAGCAATAGTGAGCAAACGAAATCGTATATAAGCAAAAAGATAGATACTTATCTAGAGATCTCCTGATTTCAAAATCCTACCTTCTCCATTCGATACAATATCGTAATGCCGAATTAAATTATGAAAATCAAATAATTCGTCCTAACCCCTCATTCAAAATATAATACATAAAATAAAAAATAAAAAATAAATACAACTCAAAAATAAAACCAATACATGCATAGGATTTGCAATTGCTATAAATTATAGATATAAATTATAATTTCTCAAAATGGGGTATGAATTATAGGTTATAGATCAGATATAATTCGGGATAGAAATCGGAATCTTAATATAGATTAAAATTTTATATTTTAAATTTCAATTAATTATTTCTAAAAAATATTTTAATATATATAATTCATTCCCTTAAAATAATATATCGAACATAATATTAATAAAATAATTAATATATCCGCCGACCCCGGCTGCGCAAGGGGGAGCGCGAAAGGGAAAAAGATTTTCTGACACAGCAGGGGTAGCTAATCCGCCGACCCCGGCAGATGCAAGGGGAAGCGCGCCATGGAATAAGACAGGAGGAAAAGGTCGCCAGAATTCATTGCAGCAGCAAGAGCACTACTACTACTACTACTACTACTACTACTACTACTCTGTCCTTCACTGCCATGGTGTTTTCCCATCCGGGGACCAGCAGCAGCAGCAGCAAAAGCCTCTGCAGCAGCAGGTCATAGCAGCAGCAAGAGGGAAAAAAAGCAGCCAAAAACATCATTTCATCTTAGCTAGGTTCAAGATAGGTGGTAGAGGCCTTAAGTAAGATCCAAACATGTCTGGTACGTACGGCTGGTAGGTTTGGTTTTCTTGGTACGGTACGGTTGGTACGCTTAGTAAGGTACGTTTGGTACGCTTACCAACCGTACCGACCGTACCAACCATACCAGTGAACCGTACATAACCGTACCACCGTGGCGTACCAGATTAAGGGGGGGTCAAGGGGGGGGCGTTTTGGATGTACCAATACTCCTTTGACCCCCCCCTTAATCTGGTACGCCACGGTGGTACGGTTATGTACGGTTCACTGGTACGGTTGGTACGGTCGGTACGGTTGGTAAGCGTACCAAACGCACCTTACTAAGCATACCAAGCGTACCTACCCAAAGCGTACCAACCGCACCAAGCGTACCGTACCAAGCGCACCAAGCGTACCAAGCGTAGCGTACCTATCTTATAGCTGGATATCAAGCACCTATCTTGAACTTAGATAAATTTCATCATCATTTTCTATGGGTTTCAGAAGTTACGTTAGGCATTTTCGAGGTGCAATTTTGGGGCTTCTCCGTCCTTCAGAGGCATGGTGTTTTGCTGCCGAGAGGTGATTTTTTCCATGGTGTTTTCCCATTTGGGGACCGGATGTAAAGGCGGCCAAAATTCATAGCAGCAGCAAGAGGAAAAAGGAGCCAAAAGCATCATTTTCTATGGGTTTCAGAAGTTGCGTTAGGCATTTTCGAGGTGCAATTTTGGGGCTTCCCCGTCCTTCAGAGGCATGGTGTTTTGCTGCCGGGAGGTAATTTTTTCCATGGTGTTTTCCCATTTGGGGACCGGATGTAAAGGTGGCCAAAATTCATAGCAGCAGCAAGAGGAAAAAGGAGCCAAAAGCATCATTTTCTATGGGTTTCAGAAGTTACGTTAGGCATTTTCGAGGTGCAATTTTGGGGCTTCTCCGTCCTTCAGAGGCATGGTGTTTTGCTGCCGGGAGGTGATTTTTTCCATGACGTTTTCCCATTTGGGGACCGGATGTAAAGGCTGCCAAAATTCATAGCAGCAGCAAGAGGAAAAAGGAGCCGAAAGCATCATTTTCTATGGGTTTCAGAAGTTACGTTAGGCATTCTCGAGGTGCAATTTTGGGGCTTCTCCGACCTTCAGAGGCATGGTGTTTTGCTGCCGGGAGGTGATTTTTTCCATGGTGTTTTCCCATTTGGGGACCGGATGTAAAGGTGGCCAAAATTCATAGCAGCAGCAAGAGGAAAAAGGAGCCAAAAGCATCATCTTCTATGGGTTTCAGAAGTTACGTTAGGCATTTGCGAGGTCAATTTTGGGGCTTCTCCGTCCTTCAGAGGCATGGTGTTTTGCTGCCGGGAGGTGATTTTTTCCATGGTGTTTTCCCATTTGGGGACCGGATAAAAAGGTGGCCAAAATTCATAGCAGCAGCAAGAGGAAAAAGGAGCCAAAAGCATCATGTTCGATCGGTTTCAGAAGTTACGTTAGGCATTTTCGGGGTGCAATTTTGGGGCTTCTCTGTCCTTCAGAGGCATGGTGTTTTCCCATCTGGGGACCAGCAGCAGCAGCAGCAAAAGTTTCTGCAGAAGCAGGAGGTTTCAGAAGTTACGATAGGCATTTTCGGTGTGCAATTTTGGGGCTTCTCCGTCCTTCAGAGGCATGGTGTTTCCATGCCGGGAGGTTACTTTTTCCATGGTGTTTTCCCATTTGGGGACCGGATGTAAAGGTAGCCAAATTCATAGCAGCAGAAACAGGAAAAAGGAGCCAAAAGCATCATTTTCTATGGGTTTCAGAGGTTACGTTAGGCATTTTCGGGGTACAATTTTGGGGCTTCTCCGTCCTTCAGAGGCATGGTGTTTCCCTGCCGGGAGGTGATTTTTTCCATGGTGTTTTTCCATCCGGGGACCAGCAGCAGCAGCAGCAAAACCTCTGCAGCAGCAGGAGGAAAAGGTAGCCAAAATTCATAGCAGCAGCAAGAGGAAAAAGGACCCAAAATCATCATTTTCTATGGGTTTCAGAAGTTACGTTAGGCATAGCAACCGCAGGCAACAGAATCTGTCGAAAAATTGTGTTTTTCTGGGATTTCAGACGACCC